TAATATATTAATAGTTATTATTTTTTATCATAATAGTATGTTTTGATATTTTTATAATGTTATAATATGTTAATATTGGAAATTTATTATTGAACCGCTGTAGTATCTCATAATCAACCAGTCATAAATATCCCGCAAACGCACCAGTTTTTAATCACTGTACCAGTCGTACAAATCGCCTAATAACGCTAGAAACCGCCGCCACCCACATCCGCAAACTCCCGCAACCGCAATCGCAACCGCCGCGTTTCAACCAGTCAGACCCTAAAGAGCTTAGATTTTTATAATATTTGAAGTCTAAATTATGTCTTTCATCTCAATGACCCATCTTCACCTTAGACTTGGTTCGAGTTTGCCCCATCTCTCTCTCCTAGGCCAACCTTTACACAACTACGTACACACACATATACGTATGTTAAAAAAATTATGTTAATTCTTCTTAATGGAAAAGTGGATTTCTTGTCTTTTTATTTGGTTTTCCCATCAAATAAACTAAATTAAGTCAACGAAAAATTTGTATCTTTTTTTTTTGTAGTACAGAACTAATTTTTTTGTAAATAATAATTAATTAGAATTTGATTCGTGCACCCGCATGAATATTTATTTTAATAAAATAAATATATGAAAAAATTTTACAACACAAGAATGTAATAATTGCACAAACATGCATTTATATTGGTATTTGTTTTCAATTTGTAGTATATAACATTTCTGATAGATGGACAGTTTTTAATTGTAAGTAATTTGTTGATTTCTCATAGTGTGGCTGGATACTAAATAAAATAATATGTTATATAACATATTTTGTCAATTAGTAATTTTTAATTACATTGACCATTTTGATATATTTATTTCCGAATTAAAACTCCAATTAGTATTTTTATGTATATTAATAAAAATATATTTCCTAAATCAAATATTATATGTTAAATTCAATTTACTCCTTTTAATAAAATAGACAGATAGTTTTTATAAGCCAAATAAATTTTATTTTTTATTTGTTTTAAAGGAAAAGATTAAATTAAAATTTAATTATTGTATTCTTATAATTCAAATATATATATATATATATATATATATATATATATATATGTGTGTGTGTGTGTGTGTGTGAATAATATTAATCATCAATTTATCTAAGGTATATTTGAACAATAATTTTCTATTTTTTAGTAAAACATCTATAGTTTATATTTTTATGTGATATGAAGTAATAATATAATTTAATATTGATTAGAGAATATTTCAGTTAGAGAATAATGATAAGTTTGGTTAGAAAATAATGGTAAATTTAGTTATAGAATAATCTAACAAAGAAGTAATTTATAGTTAATTAATTATCTATTTTATTAAAACAGAAGTACTCATAGAAAATACCCCTTTATTTTTCA